CGCGCGCAGCCGCTCCGAGGAGCCCGGGCCCCCGGCGCCATCGGTGCCCCGCGCCCTAGCGCGCGCACGGGCCGTGAGCTCACCCCAAGTTTCACTTTTGTTTCCCCTTTCTGCTCTTGTGACCTTTAGTACAAAGTTCATGCCCACATCCCCGCTCCGACAGGGATTGTGTGGTCAACAAACCCCAGAAACTCTCAATAGTTATCCTAGGTCACCAACTTGAAAGATCTGAATCGCTACACTGTTTCGTTTAGGATTTTATTCTAGGTTTAGAATGACCTCTTTAAACTGGCGCCAAATCTATAGGACCGCCCAGAATTAATGTCCAGCTGAGGTCAGCATTTACTGTGAACTGAACTTTGTGGATAGAGCGAGTTAGGGGTTGGATTTTGGGTGAAAGGGATCAAAAATCTATTAGAGAAAAAGTGCTTTTCTGCGAGATTTTTGTAGTATAAACGCATAAAAACATAAAAGAAGCATTAAAATGTTAAAGTGTGTTATAATAGCTGTTGCTAGTGTAAATGTGTTTACAATTGTTATGGGAATGAAATGAATAAGACCTTGTGGGTGGGTGGGTGCGGAGGGCGTGAGTTTTTGAGCGGCATTTATAAAGGAGAAAGAGGGTTGCCAGAGAGAAAGGATTCACACCCCAGTTCCTTGCCTTAGTGTGTGGCCTTGCCATTCAGGATGCTGATAGCATCTCTAGGTCTTTTCCTTGCTCATATTTACAAAGATGTTTGTGAAGGCTACTGTCTTCTTACATCCCTTTTCAGATATTAACTTATTTTGTCCATTTCTCTCTAGTAATTTGGATTGTACTTCTTTTCTCTTTTTATGATGAGGAAACCAAAGCATGGAGGTCAAGTGACTTGTTGATTATCACGCAACTCTCAACGTTTATCCAGATGTAGGACGTTTCCATTTTTGGTAGCTAAGGCAGGAGGAGCATGGGTGGCATTGACCCTTTCCATTGGTTCTTGGGGAATATACATACTATATGCCTAGTAGAGTGAGTAGAAGAGAGGCTTGCTTAATAAAGTCATATTTTATTATCCACATAGGAAACTTGCATTTTCTGTGACAAAGGGCAAATTGTCTATCTGTGTCTCCTCTACTGGGCTGTATTTGATGAAGTCATTTGCAGAAGTGCCCATATATTTGAATATTAGCATATGTTTAATGTAGGGTTTTATTATATAATTAGATGTATGTGTGAATTGTTTTCTTATAAAAGTAGCATTAATTCCATTTCAAATATTTGAATAGCAGAAATGGGAAAAATACAAAAATACTGAGTACAGCTATGTCAGCATTTAGAAATAGTTTATATCCTTTAACCTTTTCCTGCATGTTTGTAATCAGAGCATATGCAGTGTTATATCTGCTTTTTAAAAAGTCAGTATTTGTTACAAACTTTTTTCGGTCGTTGGAGTCTTATTCTTCGTTGTCTAGACTGAGTGTGCTGTGTTTAACCATTTCTGTTATTAGGCATTTAAGTTGTTCCACGTTTTCTTTTTTGTTTAAGCAGAGCTGTGGTGCATCTATTTCAGCATATAGGATAGATACCCAGATAGCAGTAAGAAGAACATTGTCATGGCTCCTGATCCTGGGGACTGCCTCAGTTTACAGTGCTGTAAACTGTGTGTGAAGAGGCAGCAAGGCGTGTGCTGGAAAGGGCAGGTTTTGGCAGTAGGGTCACTGGATTCAAATTCCAGCCCCAAGACCTTCTAGCTGTAACCTTGGACAAGTTACTTAATGGGCTAGTCTGTAAAACGAGTATAATAACAGTAGCTCCCTGATGGCGTGGCTGAATGAGTTACTATCTGTACAGCGCTTCTGGCTGTGCCTGGCGTGGGGTTGGCTCTCCAGTGTTAGTGCTTCTGTTATTATTAGTGTACTTTATCAGCTTCACCTCATCTTTATGCTGTTAATGCACTTAGCAGCCTTTTTTCTCCCCTCAGCTTTATTGAGGTATAATTGACAAATAAAATTGTATATATTTGAAGTATACAGTGTGGTGATTTGATAAAAGTATACATTGTGAAATGATTCCCACAATCAAGTTAATTAACTCATCTATCACCTCACATAGTTACTTTTTTTTTTTCTTGGTGAGAATGATTAAGATCTATTCTCTTAGCAAATTTCAAGTACAACAGTATTATTAACTATAGTCACCATGCTGTACATTAGATGCTTAGAACTTATTACTAAGTTCTTAGAGTAAGAATAAAATAGAGAAGAACAAAAGTTGGATTTATTTCATTTTGTTCTGATTTTTATTTGGCCTTGTGCATATTTAATTGCACAAATACTCATTGTTGCTTACTTTTCAAGTGTAAGCTGCCTGGTCAGTGATGAGCCTTTATGTGTAGCTGCAGGTGCCTGACGGTACAAGATATGTATTGATCTCTTAAAACTTCTGTTTGAGTAGAAGCTGCATTTGTATTTTTCAATGCAAGCATAAAAATAGAAGGGAAACCTTTACTTGGTCTCACATCTTTCAAATAGTTGTGAGTTTATGATGAGACTAACATTTGTTGAACACCTGGGTGCCAGGCACTCGTACTTAATAAAGTTTAAGCTGTAATATAAATAGCAGCGTTATTAAGAATGTACTTTTCCTTTTTTTTCTTTGGTTTTGGGATTGAACACGACTAATTGACATACAAAAAAACAACAAAACAAAAGTTTTGTTGTCGTTTTTTGCTTTTATCTAGAAGATAGATGTGTATGTGTGGTGCGTGTATGTGTGAACAATAGTAGAGAGTGTTCAAATTGCAATAAAAATTAAGATTTTTTTGGTATATATGTTAACTGTGACCTATCATGATGGTTATTATGTTGTGTGTTGTAAACTATATTCTTAATGGAATGAGTTTTTTAGGTATTATATTTGAAAACAGAGGATTACAGAAGAATGGAATAAATGACTTCTTTAATATCTTCAATGGAAAATTAGTCTTTAATAAATGCATACAGTAAAAATTATATAAGTATCCCAAGATTTTGTTCAATCCTAGTTTAAACAACGTTTGCTTCTGTCAATAAAAGCATGGAGAATAATGGTATTGGAGAGCCCACCTACTGATAAATTTAGCAATTAACTTTATCAATTTAAACAGACATTCTTTCTCTTAACCTCCACCCAAGGTGTATGATTGTTCCACCCATAACAAGAAAACAAAACAAATCAAAGACCAAATGTGAAATGTGGCTTTAATATAAGTACATGCCAAGGGAGGGCTGTCATAAGATCTTTTGCTTTTTAATCACTGAATTTCCAGAAAAGCATATTTAGAGCCGTGTATTTTTAACTGAATTTCCAATGTTAATATAACAATGGAGAGAAAAAATTTAAAAGTCTTTGTTGAAAAAAAAAGGTCAGAACTTGTACAAATGAGAACACATAAGTGATATTGTTAAAAATATACATGACAAAGACTGACAAAGTCTTGTTGGTTTGTTTTCAAAAGTTATGTGAAAAACCTGTAGTTTTAGAATTAGGAAAATATAGCTATAAAAGATCTTGAGGATTGTTGATTAACTCAGTCTTCATCTAACCCTGAGTCAAGTACTGTGCTTCAGAAAATTATTAAAGCTGTTTAACATAAAAATGCATTTGTAAAAATGTAGAATATTTTGCAAATAGTATTTATATAGATAGCTTTATAATATATCTGAATACAATTTCCTAAGAGATGTTAATTTATATTGAATTCAGTTAGTTGAGTTGTTTTAGTTTAGGATATGCGTTAAAAAAATAAGTTAAATAATACATTTTTTCTTTTTGCGATACGTTAAAGGAGGAATAAATTCCAGTGAGTGTGAAAATGTGTCAAGAAAAAAGGAAATGTCCGAAGACATTGAAGCCAATGCTATGGATTCTCTGGCAGATATGCCATTTGCTACTGTAGATATTAAAGATGATTGTGAAAGTAAGTACTTCATTAAATAAATATGTATTTAGATGCAATGAATAGTAAATTTAGTGATATATATATATTTTCTTAATAAATGACTTCACCTTAAATACTTGTCATGTTTTTGAGTTTTGGTTGTTAATTAATAGTTATCTTTTGGTATTCTATTGTCAAAAGTATCACAGATATTATTAAGACATGTCTCACGAAATTTTGGGCCAGATCATTCTGTAGTTTATAAGCTACTTCAGAAAATAATGGGTCAGAACATTCCATGGTTTATAACCTCCTTCTTCAGTTATTCTGGAACCACTGCTAACGTTGGCAGTACCCATTCATCTGACGAGTGTTGACTGGCCTCTTGATATGAGCCAGGCACTTCGCTAGGCATTGGGAGGGTGACCAGTGAACAAGACGGACATTGTCCCTGCTTCGTGGAGCGTAACAGGCTGGTGGTGAAAACAGTTAAACTTTTAGTCTATTATATGTTTATTTGATTGATTCAGTCTTTGAGAGCGCCATTTACAAACTTTAGAGAACCGATGCTTACTTGATTGACATACTGCTGGAACTACGTAGATATCTAGATCTGAATTTCATGTCATTGTAAAAACAGTACTGTACATGATATTTGGGGCTACCTCCACTGAAAAGGTGACAGATTTGCCTATTATCTGCCTATTATCTGCCTATTATCCAGGTTACTTGTGAATAGGAAAAAGGAGGAGCACCTGTGTATACCACAAATGCTTATTGACCGCGTGCTCTGAGCCACTCGCTCTGCGGTCTTATATGGAACCCTGCTGTGATTTGATATAGTTTTCTCTTGACTGGTGTTCTATAACTGGAGGCTCCATAAGAAATTACCTAGTTCAGTCTCTTCGTTTTTCAGAAGAGAAAATAAGACTCAGAGAAGTTAAGAAAACTAACTAAATTCACACAATTGAAAAGAACTGGTTATAGAATCTGGGATTTCTGATTTGTTCGTCATTTCTTTGATGAACATTGATTGGATGCCTAACGGTTACCAGGTTTTGGCACCAGATAGTGGGACTGTTGAAACACATGACAATATTGAAACATGTGATCAAGAAACTCACGGCTTCCTTGGGGAACCAATTCGTTAACAGCTATAATCCCATAGACGAATGCCATACAGGATGCTGTGGGAGTACATGGGGCGAGGGTGTGTCGGGGAGGCGTCTAACCTGGATGTCCTGGAAGGCTTCCTAGAGGTTTGGCAAGAGTAGAGGCCTGGGGATAAGTGTGAACTATCCAGTGTTCTTTCCTCAATACTAACTGTCCTTGAACTTAACTAATCATTAGAATTTTCTGTGGAGTGATGTAAAAGTACAGATTCCTCTTTTCCACCTTTGTGTCAGGCCAGGGAATCTTTTTTGTTTTTGTTGTTTTAAACATCCCATGAGACTCTGGTGCTCAGCCAGTCTCAGAAATCACATTGCTCTCTATCTCACTGTCTTCCCATGATTTATGTTTTGGGGAGATGTAAGGAGAGAGGGATACTTACAATGTATTAAATCTCTGGTGATTTATTAATCAGTTTTTTCCCATTCCAAAAACCAAGGAGAAAAGGGAGGATTAAGAGGGGTTTGCTCAGGCAGGGTAGGGTTTCCCATCTTTTCCTTCTTAGCTGGCCTTTAGAGAAGAACAGCTTTTGTGGGTTTCACAGCTGTTAGAGAAACCTTCCTTTGAAGAATTAGTATACCTGTTAAATAGAAGAACATACCCTTTGGAAATGATAGGCAAGAATAGGAAGGATTTACAGTCACGCGTCACGTAATGACAGGTATACGTTCTGAGTAATTCGTTGTTAGGTGATTTCGTCGTTGTGTGCACATCATAGAGTGGACTTACGCAAGCTTAGATGGTATAGCCAACTATGCACCTAGGCTACATGGTACTGATATGGGACCACCGTCCTATATGTGATCCGTGGTTGACTGAAACGTCGTTATGCAGCACATGACTGTAATCATGTTTTCCTCTTAATTCCCTAAGTTGCTCAAAAAGCAACTTTCTGAATAATCGTGCCTACATGCCCATGGTGGGTATCCCCTGTCCACCTTTCTTCCCTCTGAGTTCTGTTCCATCTCTGAATCTATCCCATTGGAATGTTCATAGCTGGACTGGAACAAGAGGTGGAACTTGTTCACCAATCCAGGTATAGGGGCTTCTGACTTATACACTTCTTACACATATCTAATCTGTATGAACAAACAGCCGTACGAGGGGTTGAGAGCGAGATACCACCAGAATCCCAGAGAGCAAATACTGTTTCCGTAGCTGCTGTGTTCTTATATCTCCACTGATGAGGAGAAACAATGGCCCCTGGGACCAGAAAGAAGGAAGAGGATGTGTTTGTGGCTCTGCAGGCCTTTCCTGCTCTGAATGGGGTAGCTGCTTCTTCAGTGGATGGGCATAGGGAAGATTGGCCAGTCCTTCATACGACTGGGATCTTTTCTCTGAGGTACATGGTATGAAATCTTACCAAAGAAGTGACCTTATCCATGTAAATTAGGGGCTGAGATCAGTCTACAGAAGTCCGCTTTTAGCTGTATAGGATTATACCACTTTTCGATAGTTGAGACTTGGTGAGTTAAAAGTCTTTGTGGGTTAGTCTAGACTCCAAACCAGCATGTATAATGTTACTTTTGTGGGAAGATAGATTTCAAATTCCAAGCTCCAACTTATACACAGTCAGTGTGGTATAATGAGAGAAACGGAAAACTTGTGTTTTAAGTTTTGGTTATTTCATTTTCTACTTGTGTGACCTTGGACATTTAACCTCTATGAGCTGGGCTTCTTCAACTGTGAAACACAGATAATTCCCTCCTGCCTACTTCTTAATGTTGTTGTACGGATCAACAGAGGGAATATGGGTAAGAAGGCAATTAAAAATGTGTGTAAATAGTGTACAAAAATAGTGTACAAAATAGTGTACAAAAGCTATTTGTGAAAGCTTTGAAACATATCCCTTGGTTATTTGGGGCCAACTTGTTCTCTTTCATTTTTATAATAGCATTTACTAAAACACTAAGGAACAGATACTAAAATTCTTTGCAAACCAGAAAGTACTGACTAGCTTTTGGGAAGTGAGATTTTTATAGAAATGTGCGAAAACTGGGAGTGTTGTTGTCAACCTTTAAACTTAAGATAGATACAGTAATGGTATTCATGTCCAAAACACAGGATAATTAGTTTGTGGCTTGAATGGTCTTAATGCGGCTTTCTCTTACAGTTAGTAACAAGGAAATTTAATCAGTCTACTGGCTCCATGGTAGACAACAGCCTTAAACTTCTCCAGTTGCTGGTTGTTGTCTTTGGTTCTTTCACAGAATTCTTTGCTTTTTTTAAATTTGTATTTCTTTTTTCTTTTTTGAGGATGATTGGCCCTGAGCTAACATCTGTTGCCAATCTTCCTCTTGTTTTTTTTCTCCCCAAAGCCCCAGTACATAGTTGTATATCCTAGTTGTAGGTCGTTCTAGTTCTTCTATGTGGGATGCTGCCTCAGCATGGCTTGATAAGTGGGGACTAGGTCTGTGCCCAGGATCTGAACTGGTGAACCCCTGGGCTGCTGAAGCAGAAGGCGCCAACTTGACCGCTATGCCACCAGGCCAGCCCTGCCTTTGGTTCTTTCATTTTCCTTTGGTGGGTGGAAATTGTGAGTTAACTGCGAAGAAATTCTTGCTGATAGAAACCGTGGCAGAGTGATCAGGAAAGTAGCGCTAACAAGGAGAGTGTCATGGGAAGGGTATCTTTGCCGGTAAGAAAACTCCTCCCCGAATGTTTGGTTCAGTGTCTCAGCTGTCAACTGTGTTACCATGGGGGTGGGGGAGTAGTGTCATCATCGGATGTCGTGGAGTCTGGTTGGCTGAAATGGGTCTTTACATTTTTTTGTTAGTTTTGTTTTTAAGAAGAGACAATTTTACTAGAGTTATATGATAGTGTATAAAATGTATTAGAATATTATGTTAAGGTTAAATATGAAATGTATTAGAATTATATATATTAGAAGTAAAATATCCAAATGTATGTACAAAAGAAAATCTTTTAGAAATTTTGAGGAAGCAATACACCCCGAGCCACATCTGGCTCTACAGGTAGACATGTTCAGGGAGAAAATCCAGCACTGGTGAGTTGTTGACCTGCACCTGGGTGGGTCTTTTCTCTTCACAAGGGGAAGTATCCTTGGTGAATTGGTTAGAAACCCAGTAAACTTTCCAGAAAATGTTTGGGATTGCCGTTAGACCTGCCTCTGAGAGTTGAGTGAGAGTTGGCAATGGTGAGTCACTCTGCTGCTGATAGGAATAGCTTAGTATGCTTTCCATGGGGTAAATCTGTGGAGCCTTTAGTTTCACTGACTCTACTCTTTTAAGAGAATCACAGTCCTTAACTATGAAGCCACATTTAAATCAAGATTCAAAATAAAATATTTGAGTAACTTTTTTTTTTTTTTTTAGTTACATGTGTTTCCTAAGTGTGGAATTCAGTTCTCCTCATACTGAAAATTGTTATAATTCTGTTCTACCTTACATGGAATTCTTTTTTTTTTTTTTTTTTTTTTGTGAGGAAGATCAGCCCTGAGCTAGCATCCGTGCTAATCCTCCTCTTTTTGCTGAGGAAGACCGGCTCTGAGCTAACATCCATTGCCTAATCCTCCTCCTTTTTTCTCCCTCAAAGCCCCCCAGTAGATAGTTGTACGTCATAGTTGCACATCCTTCTAGGTGCTGTATGTGGGACAGGGCCTCAGCATGGCCGGAGAAGCGGTGCGTCGGTGCACGCCCGGGATCCGAACCTGGGCCGCCAGTAGCGGAGCGCGTGCACTTAACTGCCAAGCCACGGGGCCGGCCCCTACATGGAATTCTAACCTTGTAATTATTGGATGTTTTAGAGATATGGGAAATTTTCATTTCGTTACTTATTTATTAGCTAATACTATTAAGATATATTAAATACTTCAGCTCTTAAGTATTTTAAAATATTGATTGAAACTA